AAACTTTTTTTGTTTTTCCCAAAATAGTGCACACACCACTAGACGAAATATCTTTAAGGGCCCATCCAATTCTGCATTCCAGTCTATGATTTTTATCAAAAGGCTGTCAGTTTTCTTAAGCCATGCTGGAGAGAGATATCATGACATTTCTCCTTTGTATAATTGAACATGAGACATCTTGGTGACCAGCTTGTGGGAAGTGAGGCCTCTTCTGAAGCCAAGTGACTGATAACAGTCAGAATGAAGCTAGACATGGTAGTCTGTAAATATATACTTCCCCTGAGCAGCCTGGCACAGTAACTGTGACCTTGAGCAGAACTTCAATGGAAAAATCACATGGAAATGGTCCTTCCTTGACTTTTCTCACTTTGTAGGATGAGGATATTTATCTCCAAGGTAATAATGAGTTGTTAAAATGATATTGACCAAGGATGAGGGGAATCATCCTAAAATTTGGACAAGAATAGATAGAAGTTCAATGTTTTTATGTAGCTTGCACTTTGCGTATTGGATATGAAGCCCGTATTATAGATCTAGTTGCCAATACCAGCCTCCTCCTGGATTCCAGCTCCCTCAACCTGTGATAGACCAGATACTGGCCAGGTGATGCAATCTTCCATTTTAAGTTTACTTCCAGAATTTCATCACTGGGTTAACGTCTCATCTAAAGGCAGCTTTCGACACATTTGTTTACATACTTTTTCATCTTAAATATTTATTTTTTCATTAAAATTTGTGAAGTACCAATAAAGAGGAAATTGTGTATTAAAGTTTCTCACTTTGTCTAGTGTGTTTTCATCTCATTTCGAAGGTCAGATGGTCTTTACAGAAAGACAACATACACACAATCTGTTCCATGACAAGGCAAAATGTGCAGCACAGGAAGTCAAGTGGGATGATTTTCACGTAGTGATTGTGAATTTGCAGCAACTTAGCTCATCAGAAGCAAAAGTGAATCACCAAACTTTCCATGCCATTGAAGATTAATAGTTCTAGTAGCTATCACCACGATCTAGGGCTCCAGGATAGAATGCAGGGGTACAGGTCAAGTTAGTCCAAGAACTCCAGCAGAGGACTGGAAAATGTAAAAGGGGAAAGATCCTTCTTTGTACCTACATTAGGACACAGATATAATTGGATAGTCAATTTGACTGCAAGAGATTTTATGTCAAGATAATCTAGTAGAGGGGATGGTTGTTAAAAGATGCCCCAGTGGTATGTGTACCTTGTCATGGAGCTTCACATGTGCATAGAACAATATATCTCTGAAAAAAAAGAGCAAAGAGTGAAGGCAGAATACTCACCATTGCTCCAGAAAAGCACCTTAATCAAATAAGCCTCATGTATTTATGTATTTTGTAATTACTTGAATAGGAATGGGACCTGCTTTGATATTTACCCCTTTGCTACTCGATAAGCAGAGGGACTATTTCTTTGCCCTACTGAAGAAATTTATACACACATGTAACCACCATACTAATCAATTAGTAATAGTGGTAGTAGTGGTGATACTGCGACATAGCACTTCTAAGTTTCTAAATCATGTTCCCATGCGTCGTTTGATTACTTGGCTAGATGAATCTGCTTTCTATATTCATAGCAGTGATAATGTTAGCCCCATTGCAGAAATGAGGGAATAGACCAGAAAGACATTGACATGCTCAAGTTTGCCCTGGAAGTAAGAGGGAGAATGATCATATCAAAACAGTTTGTTTTATAAGCAGAAAGATAAGAAATGTGTATTATAACATGAGAAGAGTAGAGATCATAGTATTTGTTCAGAATGAATGAAAGAGATGGGACTACCTAGAGAGAAGTTAGGGTTAAGTTTGACATGGAAAAGTTGCAGGTGGGAAGAGGTTCTCATAAACCACCATGTCTCTATATGAAAGGGTTTGAGTTTCCCCAGCTCCTGAAGAGAAAGCTGGTTTCTCTTGAGAGAAGGAATGACATCATTAACTCATCAAATCAAAACCCTAAATTCTTCTTGATGTGTGGAGAACAATTTCTCTTGTCTGTACTTACCATTCCAGCCAAGTTTTTCAAGAGAATGTTTCTATTCTCAGTGATGTTCTTCTTTGCTTGGTTAGAAACTCCTTGTTTAATATTTTATATTGTATTATTTTGCATACATCTAGCTTTTCTGGTTTAGTTAAATCCCATAATTTTTGATAAATGTGAATCATTTATAGAAATCCAAAGAAAACCTAGTGGAATGCGGCAGTCACATGAAGAGGGAAAGTAAGCATGTGATTCTGGATCTTATCTCAAGACCTAAAAATGAATTTGGAGCCTTGTCAATATTCCCGAATTCTTTTTCTCTGACATCTTTCTTTGTGTTCCTAGCACAGAATTCTGCAGATGATTTTTTGCTTTTAGCTTCAGGTTTATGCCACTTATGGATAAATCCTTTCTTGAATCTAGCGGGATAGCCAACATAGGTTCTGATTCATTAGGACTGTACAGTATGGGCCATTGCTTTATTTTCCTCTAATCAACTAAAATGAAATTGAATGAGATGACTAATAAGTCTCTCCGTACCCTTATCTTCTACTTGATGAACTTGAACAAATACTAATATTTTTTAATTAACTTATTTACTTATTACAAATATTCATGAGATACAAAGCTGATTGTCCCCCCTCCTGCCCATGATGTGGGGGCCAGATTCATACTAGGGGAATATCCATTACCAGAAATTACTTTTGTACCCTTTGTCCCCTCCCAATTATCCCCCGACCTCCCTCCCCCTCCCCCTCTCTCTCCCCTTCACTCCAATTTGTAGCCCTAGGAATGTTCCCTCCCTCTGTTGGATCACAGCACTACTGTGCTCTTTCTTTCCTGCCTTCCTTTCTCTCTTAGCTCCCACATACGAGTGAGCACATGCGGTATTTATCCCTCTGTGCTTTGCTTGTTTTACTCAACATAAATTTCTCCAGGTTCGTCCATGTTGTTGCAAATGGGAGTATTTCATTCTCTTTTATGGCAGAGTAGTATTCCATAGTGTATATACATATACCACAGTTTCCTTATCCAAACATCTATTGATGGACATCTAGGTTGGTTTCATATCTTTGCTATTGTAAACAGAGCTGCAGTAAACACGGGAGTGCAGGTATCTCTTCGACATGATGATTTCCATTCCTCTGGATATATACCTAGAAGAGGGATTGCTGGATCATATGAAAGATCGATCTGTAGTTGTTTGAGAAACCTCCAAATTGTTTTCCAAAGTGGTTGTACTAATTTACATTTCCACCAACAGTGCATAGTGTTCCCTTCTTTCCATACCCTTGCCAGCATTTGTTATTCACTGTCTTTTTGATTATAGCCAGTCTAACTGGAGTGAGGTGGTATCTCAATGTGGTTTTAATTTGCATTTCCCTGATGACTAGTGATGTTGAGCATTTTTTCATGTATCTGTTGGCCATTTGTATATCTTCCTTTGAAAAACGTCTATTCAGCTCCTTTGCACATTTTTTAATTGGGAATTGCTATTATAGCTGACAAAATATTTTCACATCTAGACCCTCCCTTGAACTTCAAAACAGATCTATGAGTCTGGGAGTATGACTGCCAGGAAACGGCTTAGGCACTGGTTTTTGAAAATAATAGTAATAGAGCAGACCAGCTAAAAATCTTCATACAGAGTTTGCCTCATTTCCTTTCTAAAATCAGTCATTTGTGCTGGATTTCTCCTATCATTGGTTCTGGGTGGTAATGTTATTATCTGTTTTGTTTTGTTTTGTTTTGCTTTTTATAGATAAGGAAACTGAGCTAAATTTTTGTAGGCAACTTGACTTCCCAACTTTGCAGTGGGACTTTATCCAGTTCTTCAAACCACAAGTAAACCTCCCCTTTGACTTTAAATGAATTAACCTAATTCACATCCATTTGCTCAGTCTCAGTAATCCTGATTGCCAGTTATCAGAATGTTAAACCACCTTACTATGGCTTATTTCTGTACGGTTTCGTAGCTTTTTGGATGGTTTCTTTAATTTTTATATTCTCATATGTTCTTTTGTCCTAATTTTTATTTGCACTATTCCTTTTTTTTTCTGTTCCTCATTAATCATCCTTCTGAAAGTTTGCTAAAGAGTGGGTAAGTGCATTTTCCCTTCCAAATAACAATGCTTTGCATTGTTATTTTTTTGTTAAGAAAATATGGAATAATTCAAATGGATACTAAAATGATCTAATAAATGTCAAGGAGCTGGCATATAATATTTTGTGTTGAAATCACTTTTCATTTTTCCCTGGCATTTACAGCAGATTTTGGTTTGTGTGGAGGTTTGTTTTCACTTTGCTATTTAAATGTAATTGACAGCCACAGTTAGAGAAATTGAAAAACTTAGCAGAAGTCTCAGTAGAGGCTCTAAGCTGATTCTGCTTATCCATGAATAGAGAAAATGAGTGACTTGCCACAAGGGTTCAGAAAGAAACACTTCACCTCGACACTAAGTCAACACCTGGAGATAAAGTTGGGGTGCTCTGAGACATTAACCCAAAGTGTCTGGTGGTTTCAGAATAATTTTCACAAAATGAGTCACAGTGCTGTGGTCAAATTCCCTTCAGAAGGATTTCACTACCTAAGCTACATCCCCCGAGCAGTTTCCGAAAGATAATTTTTTATCTTCTGTATTAAATTACTGTCGTATCTTGCTTTGTAAGATCCGTATCAACACACTGCTAGTCCATTAAACCATCCATGTGTGCTGTTTGTAAATGTGTATATATGTCTACACACATTAAAGGCATCGAAAGCCTTGGGTAAAGAACAGTGAGCCTGGTAATTTAATTTTTTTTTTTTTTTAAGAGCTTCAGATCTTTCTCCATCAAAGATCTGGAGTCAGAATCTTACAAATGCTTCTGGGACTATGAAAATAAAATGGGTCTGCAGGCCAAGCTTTATTTATAAATTGCGTTGTCTAAAAATTACTGACGGATGTAGTGTCATCACCTCCCAAACATGCTAATATTTGTCTTTCTGTGTTCTTTAGCATCAGTACCATTCAAAAATAGATGAACTAATTGAAGAAACTGTTAAAGAAATGATAACACTCTTGGTTGCAAAGGTAACCTTCAGCTTCAGGTGAAATGTTTCATTGTGAACATTGCTTTGTTATGTCTGCATTTCCATTAAAATGTAACACGTTAAAAAAGTTGAGCTGGCTACTCGCATCTCTCAGGAAACAAGATTGTACATCACCCAGCCTCAGCTCTGAATGATTCTCGGATGATCGCGAGCCGTGTGAAGATAAATTGATGAAGTGGCATATGTTAACTTAATAAGAATTTGTCCCCAAACATGGCATTAGGTTATGCGGGAAATGTTTGTTTTGTTTTTCAGCACTGACAAAGTTAGATTTTTAGTTGAGCTGGCTACTCTCATCTCTCAGGAAACAAGATTGTACATCACCCAGCCTCAGCTCTGAGTGATTCTCGGATGATCGCGAGCCGTGTGAAGATAAATTGATGAAGTGGCATATGTTAACTTAATAAGAATTTGTCCCCAAACGTGGCATTAGGTTATGCGGGAAATGTTTGTTTTGTTTTTCAGCACTGACAAAGTTAGATTTTTAAATACGGAAAGTTAAGTGGTAATAAGGAATTCTGCCATCATGAAAACCCCTTTTCCTCTAGTTTCACATGCAGTGAGAGTCATAATAAAACATAAAAGTCAGATAAAGCTATTTCAGTCACCCTCATGAATTATAGAATTTTAACTAAGTAATGCTGAATGGGAAGACATTTATATTTGCCAGTGCTAAACTTCTGTTTCCCCCAAATTACTGATAAAATACAAATAAAAATAGATTGGATTAAATGTAGTGCTAATATGTAACGTAAAAACTGCTTTGCGCAGTTTTGGATTTTGAAAAGTGCATTTAATATTATCGCATGCTATATGCAACTCAATAATATTTTGTCACTTTGCACTTCTGTAACACTCTATATTTGCAATCACATAATAATGAAGAGAAAGCCGGATAAGTCAAATATTTCCATGTAAAGGCAGTCTATTCCTTTCTCAAAAGGCGGGAATCAAATAACAGAATACAGAAATGAACAGAGGGCTCAATCCCAGTCTCTATGTGGTTGGGAAATGTTGCTCTTTACTGTGAACAATTATAGTTTGAAATAATAATCTTCTTTTCTTTTTTGCTGTTTTATTAGTTTGTTACTATCTTGGAAGGAGTACTGGCAAAATTATCCAGATATGACGAAGGGACTTTGTTTTCTTCTTTTCTGTCATTTACCGTAAGTAAAGAGCTTTTTTTTTTTTTTTTTCTCCCTGGCTTTTGTTTTAGTTTTGATTTTGGTTTGGGTTTGGGGGAGAGGCGCTGTTGTATCATTTTGTTTTGGGGGTGTGTGTTAATTGCAGTCAATTATTAATGTATAATATTAATACTAAGAGAATAAGCAAGACATTTCATAACAGCAAGTTATTCAACATCATTTCCATTTCATTTGTGAATGTGTGATGTGTGTGTGTATGTACAAACCACGCGCACACACACACACACACCTCTATATGCATGCCTCTAAAAAGCTGCCTGCCTAAGACCACTTTAGCCATCTCAGGCAAATTATTTAATGCGGGACACCATTTCCTTATCTGTAAATGAGGAAAATTAATTTTAAAGGTTGCAAATGGAGATTGCAGGTAAGATAGAGCTGCAGATGTGTTTTATATGATCCTCACTGTGTCAGGTACATTCTTCTTAACTGAATTAGTTACCCACATTTAAAAATCAGGAGACTTCACTGGGAAATCCGTATTTCAGGGTAGGCCAGCATACGTGCATAGCAACAGTCTGCTGGAGCTGAGTCTCAGCCGTCTCCATAGACGGGATGTGTGTTTGCCCTTTGTTGTAGCCTCCCTTGGCTGTTTCACTCATTCATATACCTACCTGGGCTTGGGACCCATTTGAGTTTACAACCTCCGGAGCAGATGACCAAGTTCTTTATAAATTCTGAGAGGCTCAGATTCTGTGCCAGAATTAGGCAAGGGCATAGAAGTGAGGTAGATATGGCTGGGCAGAAACTAGCCTTATTTTTTGTAGATAAATGATCAAAGAGATGGCCGCATAAATGGGCTGTTTCAGGGGCCCGGTTCTCCCACCCCTCCTAGTGCTAGGTGGGCACTGTAGCTGCCTGCTTCCCTGCCACTTCTGACAACAGGGTTCTTCCTGGCTCTGAGACCAGCTGTTTTCCTCTGACAGTGCCCTTCAAAAGGCAATCAATTTAGGACCCACTGTCTGTGGGTCTTTAAAACAGCCTTACTCTATGAGGAATCTCCCAGATAGGTTTGAATGTCAAGACAAGGCCCTGCACAGGGTAGTGCAGAGCACATCATCTTTGGAACCTTGCAGAACTAGGTTCAAATCCCATTACTGATATTGACCAGCTGTGTAATCTTGAGCAGGTATGTCATTCTCTCCAATCTTCAGTTTTTTCATCTGTAAGGGAGTGGGGGTTGAATAACGTTTTCCATAATGAGCTGTTGTGAAAATAATAAAGTAGGTGAAATAGCTTAGCATAGTCCTAGCTCATAGCAGACCTTAATTAGTGGCAGCTATTATTAATAAAAGGTAACTAAAATGGCAGTTATAAAATGCAAACCTACATGCTCACAGCTTCTTTCCAAATATACCCTACTTTGGTCTTTCCCCAACCCATACATTAGTCTTCCTGGGAATTAAGGGACAGGTAGACAGAAAACATTGAAAGCAGTTTCTAGATAGCATCCACATATCTGTGTGCCCAGCTTGTTTTGACATGCAGCTCTGATCTTCTCAGGTGTAAGAATTGAAATCACTCTCAGAGGTGTGATAGCCTCAGTCTCTGAAGCCTATTGGCAAAGGTGGGTTGAGAAGGGGGTGGTGACAATAGGAATTCCATCTAATTTCACTCTGTAGAACCACCCATAAAGTGTCACAGCTGAAAGGAAACCTATGCAAGCCACTTTTTTGATGAAGAAACCAAGGCCCAGAGAGGGGGAGTAATTTGTCTAAGGTCACACAGCTATGGGCAGCGTGGGGACAGGAACCCAGGTCTTCTGCCAGCTCTCCCCCACCACTGAACAGCTTCCTGAAGAGAGTGGGATTCAGCTGGCAATTGCCTGGCACTAGAAGGCAGATGGGCAAATGAGTGGGGAAGATTCATAAAGAAGGATTCAGGGCACATGAGTGGGAAATATTAGATAATGTTTCATTCCTCAGTGAAGTCATGGAAATGGTGAAAAGAAAATGCGACAGTTCTGGAAAATGTTCCCCTGACACCCACAGAAGACATTGCTTTCTTTGAGTCTTTATTTTGAGCAACTGTTTTTACTGCACTGGACTTGAACCCGTGAAAACCAGGAAAGCCCCTCTGCTCTTTATTGAGCAGAATTCAATCCACCAAAGGCCCCACCCTTATTACTGACTTACCAAGAGGACCACTGGGAGGTGGCCCAGTGGCAGCAATATCACAAACATGGTACCAGAGAGAGTCTCACAGGAGGGTTAGAAACAAAGAAGACCCAGAGTGTCCTAGGCAGGAATTTTCAAGCTGAAATGCCCATCCTCTCTTCTCTTCTTTCTGAGACATTTTCAGCCTCACAGCATGCCTGGCGAAGGCACCATGATACAGAACACTTAGGTGCCTGTTGCTGGGCCTGTAATTTCCCTTCTTAGTGACACTTCTCCCACACACTTGGCCACCCCAAGGCCAAAAGCACCCACTTATCATTTGCAGCCTATGTTCTCATCTCCTGCCAGTATTGCAGTATCAGGGAAGTCGAGATGTGCTCAGAGGTGGGAAGAATATCTCCACACATGGGCTCTGAGCTCCTGCTCAAATTTCAAATGGCCTTCGAAGGCTTCCTGCAGCCCAGTCGTGTTAACTTCCCAGGAGTGGAGTGGAATGGAGGGCAGAGGGTTGAGCAGAACAGCAGGTATTGTGGAAAGAGCCTGAAACCAAACAGAGAACCAGCTGTGAGTCCCAGGACCCTGGACAAAGGCGTGGAGATAGTGCCGGCACGCTGGCATGATTTCCCTCACTCTGCTCCCATTTCTGATTCAATTCTTCAAGTATTACTGTGCACTTACCACGTCCCCACCTCAGCAGGGCTGCCAAGTACGAGCCATGTGCTCTGCCCCCCAGAAAGCTGACGAGTATCGACAAATATGCCACCCTTTCCCCCTCTTTCTTCTGCTGAGTGCCTCCTTTCCTGGGTGGGCTTGATTTCATGGTCCAAGCCAGACATTTTGGAAAACGTCTGCAGTGGCACAGAGCAGGCAGGAATATTTATTTCTCGTCTCCATCTGCATTGCTTCCTCTCTTGGAGAGGAGTTGGGGGGAGGAGGGAGGATGAGATGTGGCTTCTTCGTGCCAGCCCGAGAGGCGCCCAAGCACACCCTCCTCCCCTCCCTCGCCAGCCTCAGCAGCAGTGGCAGCCTGGGATTTATGGAGGCAGGCTCCTTTCGAACTTTTGAAAGATCAGCCCGGTTGGAAGATGCAACTAGCAACTATCCGCCCATTTCCCTTGACAGCAAGATGTGCTTTTGTGTGGGGTGCCTGTTTAGAAGGGTCCCTGTCTTCTGGGTACCCTCACGCTGTTCTTTTAGGAGACCGAGAAGAGGGACAGCAGGTGCCCAGGTTCCTCTCCCAGGAAGTTAAAATGATTTCTGCAGTCCTATCCAAGTGTTAAGAAATATGCCGGTTCTGGAATTCATTCATTCATTCATTCACCCATTCATTCATTCACCCAGCATATATTTACTGAGCACCTATGTGTTATATATTGTGCTAGGTGCTAGGGACACGGCGGTGAGCAAGAAAGACATTTTCTCTGCCCTATTGGAGCTTACATTTAGAAAAGGATACAGGCAATAAAAAAAGAAAGAAAATTGTCAAGTGGAGGAAGGGTTGCACAGGGCATAAACTGGAGAGCAAGAGAAAGTGGGGAGCATGACATTGCTAGAATGGTCATGCAAGGTCTCTCTGAAGAGAAGACGAGATTCGAGCTCAAACTTGGAAGAGCCAGCCATGGATAAAAAGGAAGGGAGAGTCTTCTGGACAGAACAGCAACTGCATTAGGCATGAAGCAGGAGGCATTCTTGAAGGTTATTTTGGAGGTAACATAAACAGGGTTTAGGGATCGAGTGGACGTTGGAGGTGGAGACTCAACTGGAGGGCCATGGGTGGAAGAGCTCAGCTTAGCCGAATGCATCCTGTCAGTGGGGTACAGCAAAAAAGATAGCTTAGAGTGGGGCAACCTGGGATGGGAACCCAGCTCTACCCCTTACCAAAGAGCTATGTGACCTGGAATGAGGGACCGCACCTCGGCTTTTGATTTCCTTCAGTGTAACATGACGATGGTTATATTAGATGAATTCAGAAGTCTAAAATAACTACAAGAGCTACAGCTCCTATTCCTTAAGCACTTGCTAAGTGCCTGGCACATAGCTAAGTGCTTTAAATGTATTTTTCCTGTTAAATCCTCGGAACAATCCCATTCCAACAACACTCTTCTGCAGATGATGAAACTAAGACTCAGAGAGGTTAAGCACCCCAGCTCCAGCTGAGTACTCTCTCCACTCAACTCTGGAGCCTCCACAGAGGAATGAGGATGGAGAGGAACCCAGCCCCCCACCCAAAGCAGACAGAACAATTATGTCAAGTCCTCTGAAGCCCCCTAGAATTCAGCTAAGAGCCTCCCAACAAACAAATCCATTCGAGGTGGTCATGAATGGACGTACATAACACAGAAGCCACTCAGGACAGGGAAAATAAAGCCCATTTTAGGGTTGTCAGGAGCCCAAAACCTACTATATGTCCAATCGTCTAGGTCTCCAATTACCCCCCCATTCACTCTTTTTTTCCTTTTGCCAGCATTTTCATTGTTTTGCCACTTAGAAATGAAACAAAATAGATATGCTTCTTCCTGCTAGGATCAGTGACAAAGGGCTGGAGTCAGTGTGAATCAGTAGCATTGATTGCTTTTGTGCAGAGCTCTCGATGCCATGCCTTAAAACAAGACTGCCACCTTGGTCAAATACCAGAACTGGATCAAGGGAATTCACTTCTGTTCACAGAACATTTTGGTCAGGAAACAGCTCAGATTTTAGAGTGGGGTGAGTGTCGATAAGAGTTTGTTAGTGTTTTCAGTGATGGCGTTTCATTTTTGCTTTGGCTTCAAGGAATGCTCAGGATGGAAGAGACAGTTTTTACAGTGTGGGCTGGTGACGGATGATGTAGACAGAGAGGTTTGG